GTTATTTGGTGTTCACTTCTCACCGCAGGACCATCGTAGACGTTGCTGTGTATTGCAATACGAATTACTACAATACGGACTGCGCCACGTACTGTGTTCCCCAAAATTCAAATTCAAATGGTTACTACACATGTCACTCATCAACGGGGGCAAAGATATGTTACCCGGGTTATTCGGGGTCAAGCTGCACAGTTGATATCAACGAGTGCAGTAGCAATCCGTGTAGAAACGGGGGAACGTGTGCACATGGTATCAACTACTTCACGTGCAGCTGCGCACCCGGTTTCCAGGGCACAACATGTACCGTGAACATTAATGAGTGCGCTAGCTATCCGTGCGCAAACGGTGGCACATGCGTAGATGGGGTGAATGGCTACCAATGTCAATGCCGAGCAGGTTTCAATGGGGAGCGATGCCAGACTGAAATCGACGAGTGTCTCTCGTCACCATGCGTGAATGGCGCTACCTGCAATGATGATATAGCTGGTTTTACATGTATATGCACTTCTGGATTCAGTGGCCAATATTGTGAAAACGATATTGATGAATGTGGAAGCAGTCCGTGCAAGAACCGGGCCATGTGCTCTGACCGGGTCGATGGGTTCGACTGCATATGCGCCGGAGGATATACAGGAACGTTATGTGAAATAGAAATCGATGAATGTGGAAGTTTTCCATGTCAGAATAATGCCACGTGTCTTGATGAAGTCAATGGATTCATTTGCAATTGTGATTATGGTTATTTTGGAGACGTTTGTGATGTTAATATCACTGATTGCACTGCACTGTGTCAGAATAATGCCACATGCTATGACATCCTCAATGGGGCCTTCTGTGATTGTGCTAGTGGGTATTTTGGGGACTATTGTAACTTTAATATCACAGATTGTCCAAGATTTTGTAAGAATAACAGTACATGTGAAATAGCTAACTCCACGATGACATGCCTCTGTGCTCCTGGATTCTATGGTGAACTATGTGACAGAGAATATGACGAATGTCAAAGTCAACCATGCCAAAACGGTGCAACATGCAATGACGTCGTCAATGGGTTCGTCTGCTCATGCGCGCCTGGGTATTTTGGGACAAGCTGCCAAGATGAAGTGGACGAATGTGAAAGTAGTCCTTGTGTGAATGACTCAGAATGCATTGACCTGATCGCTGACTTTTTTTGTAACTGTACCGAAGGCTTTGAAGGTATTTTCTGCGAAATAGACATCGACGAATGCATGTTTTCAGAATGCTTTGGAAACTCAACATGTATTGATGACGTTGACGGATACTCTTGTAAATGTGAGGACGGTTACGATGGAAATTTGTGTGAAATTGACATAGATGAGTGCCAGAGTAATCCGTGTAAAAATGGCGCTAATTGTACAGACGATATTAACTCCTTCATGTGCTCTTGCATGCCTGGATACACTGGTAAAATGTGCGAAGTAGATATTAATGAATGTAATTCTTCACCGTGTCTGAATAATGCAACTTGTGTTAATCATATTGATTCGTATTCTTGCATGTGTGATGTCGGCTGGGAAGGTATCGTCTGCGACTTCAACCCAAATGATTGCCTATACTCAAACTGCTTCAATAATGCAACTTGTGTCGATGGTATAGGCGAATACTTTTGTGAATGCAAAGCAGGTTACTATGGTGATTTATGTGAATTCGAAATAGATGAATGCTTAAGTAACCCGTGTAGAAATGGCGCTAACTGTACAGACAACATCGATGCCTTCACGTGTAGCTGTACACCTGGCTATACTGGTGTTATGTGCGAAGAAGATGTTAATGAATGTAATTCTTCACCATGTTTAAATAATGCAACTTGTGTTGATCAAATTGATTCGTATTCCTGTCTGTGTGACGTTGGCTGGGAAGGTAATGTCTGTGACTTCAACCCGAATGATTGTCTGCACTCAAACTGCTTCAATAATTCAACTTGTATTGATGGTATCGGCGGCTATACCTGTGAGTGTCCGACAGGCTACGAAGGAGAATTATGCGAAAATGACGTAAAAGAGTGTGACGAATATCCCTGCCAAAATAACGCTACTTGTGTAGAAGAAATCGGTTGGTTTATGTGTATCTGTGCTCCAGGTTTTGAAGGCGCTTATTGTGACGTAGATATCAATGACTGTGCGATGATGCCTTGTGCGAATGATGGAACCTGTGTTGATATGGTTAGTATTATTATCAAATCATACCAAACACTAAAAATCACACACGTGTATGTTATTTTCAAACTGCATAATTTATTTATTTTATTTTATTTTTATTCTTAGCAAAATTGGCTAAAAATTTCCAATATAGTGAACTTAATCTCTGTTTACGTAGCCATCCCTTTCACAATCGCACACAAACGCACATGTGCTACGTAAGTCTAATTGACAGTTGTTTTTGGTCGTAAAAAAAGACACGACCTTGACACGAGAGGAATTGAAACCATCATAGCCTAGAATCGGCTAAAATCCACTGTGTTACAATTTAAACACACACACTCGGGGTGTATAGGCCTATGAAGCTAGCGTAAATAGTCCTATGATGAACAGACTTGAATGTTATGTATATATAACGTGTTAATTTTAGGTCAACGGGTTTGAATGCTATTGCCCAGATGACTGGTACGGTACCAACTGCACAACGTACCTGCCGAACTTATGTTTGAATAATAACTGCACAAATAATTCAACATGTCAAGGAACTTTAGAAGGTTTCATTTGTACCTGTTTACCTGGATTTACAGGTAAGATCACGTTATTTTATGCATTAACTGTGTTAACGTTCAGGCACCAACGTACTTGCGTGAACCTTTTAATGAATACACACAGAGCAGCTTAGCTCAGTTGGGTAAACCGGTAGTAGTCACTTGAAACCTGGTGAAATAGTAATAATTTAAATGCTTAATCAATGTGCAGGAAAGTATCTGTCTCTTATACACATCTAGATGTGTATAAGAGACAGCATCAACGGTCATCATACATGTTAACATCAACGGTCATCATGCATGTTAACATCAACGGTCATCATGCATGTTCTGCATGCTCAACTGAAGTGTCATCCACATGGATATCCCTCCATGAAATAATAAAATCATCAGTCGTATTCAGGCACATCTCATGGCGCTAACTGTACAGACAACATCGATGCATTTATGTGTACCTGCGCACCCGGCTATACAGGTGTCATGTGCGAAGAGGATTTTAATGAATGTAATTCTTCACCATGTTTAAATAACGCAACTTGTGTTGATCAAATTGATTCGTATTCCTGTCTGTGTGACGTTGGATGGGAAGGAACCGTCTGCGACTTCAACTCGAATGATTGTATGCACTCAAAATGCTTCAATAACTCAACTTGTATTGATGGTATCGGCGGCTATACCTGTGAGTGTCCGACAGGCTACGAAGGGGAATTATGCGAAAATGACGTAAAAGAGTGTGACGAATATCCCTGCCAAAATAACGCTACTTGTGTAGAAGAAATCGGTTGGTTTATGTGTATCTGCGCTCCAGGTTTTGAAGGCGCTTATTGTGACGTAGATATCAACGACTGTGCGATAATGCCTTGCGCGAATGATGGAACCTGTGTTGATATGGTTAGTATTATTATCAAATCATACCAAACACTAAAAATCACACACGTGTATGTTATTTTCAATCTGTATAATTTATTTTATTTTATTTTTTTTTATGTGCTACGTAAGTGTAATTGACAGTTGTTTTTGGTCGTGAAAAAAAGACATGCGCCTTGAGCACCTTTGGGGGAGATGTGCGCTTTATAAATCTTTATTATTATTATTATTATTATTATTATTATTATTATTATTATTATTATTATTACGACCTTGACACGAGAGGAATTGAAACCATCATAGCCTAGAATCGGCTAAAATCCACTGTGTTACAATTTAAACACACACACACACCCTCGGGGTGTATAGGCATATATGATGCTAGCGTATAAATAATCCTATGATGAACAGACTTTAATGTTATGTATATATAACGTGTTAAATTTTAGGTCAACTGGTTTGAATGCTATTGCCCAGATGACTGGTACGGTACCAACTGCACAACGTACCTGCCGAACTTATGTTTGAATAATAACTGCACAAATAATTCAACATGTCATGGAACTTTAGAAGGTTTCATTTGTACCTGTTTACCTGGATTTACAGGTAAAAGATCAGGTTATTTTATGCATTAACTGTGTTAACGTTCAGGCACCAACGTACTTGCGTGAACCTTTTAATGAATACACACAGAGCAGCTTAGCTCAGTTGGGTAAACCGGTAGTAGTCATTTGAAACCTGGTGAAATAGTAATAATTTAAATGCTTAATCAATGTGCAGGAAAGTATTGTGAGGAGGATGTGAACGAGTGTCTAGGTGGTGCGTGTTTACATGGAGGAACCTGCCGTGACCACATTGCCGGGTTTTCGTGCGAGTGTATCCCTGGATACACTGGTGAATTCTGTGAGGTTGTTCTTGACACATGCGACAAGGTAGAGTGTAATAACGGAGAGTGCATTGAGGAGACTGACGGCTTCGCCTGCCAATGTCTGCCCGGCTACGAAGGAATCAACTGTGACAACAACATCGATGAATGTGCATCATCACCTTGCCTAAACGGTGGGACATGTACGGATGACGTCGATAAATTTAATTGCAAATGCCCAGAAACATTGTCAGGGAGTATGTGCGACCAAGACGTTGACGAGTGTACGAAAGGTGATGTCTGTCCTGAAAATGCCATCTGTAGAAATACGTTTGGTGGCTTTGATTGCGCCTGCAAGCCCGGATTCACTGGTGAGAAATGCGAGGACTTTAAGGATCCATGTGATGCGCATGGAATGCCGTGTAATAATGGAGGTACTTGTGTAACAACAGACGAATCTTACAGGTAAATGCTGCATATTTCAAATGTGATTCTGTAGTTTGATATCATCTTTTTTTTTATATCAGCATGATATCGTCATCATTCTTAACAAAGAAGAAAAACGAGGCTATGGCGTTGACTATTACCATAATGAAGTATTTTTTGAAGGTTTACATACTTTCTTTTGTGTCATATATTTTCTCTATTTATACCTGTGAATAAGTTAACTGGATATGTTTTTAGATGTGAATGCAGTATTGGATTTACAGGGGAAACTTGTAACATCATCATGGATCCATGCAAATCTTCGCCATGTTTGAACGATGGAGATTGTGAGGTAAACGACGAGAAAAGTTACACGTGCAGGTGTACTAAAGA